GAACTAAAGGGAGGGATAAAATATATATATATAAATCTATTTTTAGTCTGGAAAGACTTTGTTTAAATGAAAGGTGCGCTGTCCCTTTTGATTCTATTTTAAAATTATCTAGCTAAAGAATTCCAAATTGGTTCCAATAACAACGAAATTTAAATGTGAAATTGAACTCAGCAAACTCTCATCTCATAGAGGACGGGGTGTGGCTCTGCCGGTCAGCCTGTCTCCCCCCAACTCAGATCTCTAGACCCAGAATTGAAAGCCGGCGAACACACCCAAACCACCCTTTGTCGTTAATTTGTCTCAAAGTGGGGAGGTTGGGGGAGGGGAGTGGGGCGGTCCATGTTTTCAAGAGTGGGAGAATGATGTTTAAACACAAAAATAAATTTTTTTCATTTCCAGAAACACTATTTATTTATTATTTTTAAAATTTTTATCTTTTTGGGGGTGAAATTGGTAGATGCCCGAGGTCACAGCTGTGTGCTGCGTCACGTGGCCGGTGGGAGCCCTGAGTGCCGCGCTGGTGCAGCAGGGCCATGCCCAGCGGGTGCCGCCCCGACAGGACTGGAAGTCTGCGAGGCGCTGGCAGGCTGTCTGAGCGGTGGGGGGCAAGCTGACCAGGACACCCCTTTAGCCCTTTATTCTTTTTCCTTTTGTTTTTATAAAAGAAAAGGGGGCCTGTCAGTTGAGCAGCCCCACGCTACGTGATTCTTTATGTTGTATTGTTTTGTTTTGTAAAGTGTATAATTTTTAAATATCTGAGTTTTAAAAAAAAGAGAAAAAGTACAAAAAAATTCTTGTTAAGGCCTTAAGAAGGGGTTAGTGCATCTTTCAGGGGTCACTCTGCCGTGGGGATAAAATAGCTGTTTCACAAACAGTTTTATTTAAAAAAAATCAAAAAAATAATAAACTTCATTTTAACCTTGTTTCCTTTTTTATTGATTGTAAAACAAATGCATCTCTTTCTCCTCCCGCTCCAGCCCCCAGAGGTGGCTTTGGTTCTGCTGCAGGTGAGGCAGGTCTGCCTGGTTCAGCCACTCAGTGGGGGGAGCCCAGCCCGTGTGTGGGGACGGTCAGATTTACTTAAGCTGATATGAGAACATATTTCCAATCAACATTAATTTTAAAGGTTATAAAAAAATAATGCAATGTTAATGGGCTTTTTTAGAGAACAGAAACTCTGGAAGGAATGTTGTGAAGTAGAAATAAGCAATTATAAATGAGTTCTTTGTGCTCATCAATTTGGGGCTGCAGAAATGGCAGATTAATTTCGTTTTAATGGCTACATCAAGCCGTGTGGTCCATTTCTCATTTCACTGCCGGGACGGAGGCGTGGGTGGTGTTCTGCATGGGCCTAGGACCTGCATAGCAATGATGGCTTTTTGAGCTACTTGGCTTCCCATCTGGTCCCAACTTGGCATTAACACAGTTCAAATGAAATTGATGGATTTCAAGTGTCAAGGGCTACACCACAAAACTTTAAAAATATGCATCTTGAGGAAAATACTTTTCTGACAGCAAATGATTCTTCGTCATTTTGCCTTTTATTCTCCTGCCCCCCCTTTGACTTGCTGGCGATGCATGAGCGAGGCCCTGTGACCGTCCGGGTCTTTCCTCTGAAATGCTGATGACGGGAGTGGCATGTCCCACACACCCTCCTGCCCCAACAGCTCCAGCTGCCCATGTGCATCTCAGTTCCCCCCACATTTGAGTTCTGTGCATTTTAATACATTTCACTGTTTAGAGCAGTTTTAGGTTCATAGCAATATTGAGCAAAAGGTACAGAAAGTTCTCATATACCCCCTGACCCACCACCCACAGCTGCCCGGCTACCAACTCCCCAGCCCCAGGGTACACTTGTTAACAGTCAGTGAGCCTGCTCCAACAGTCACCCCAGTTCCACAGGGAGAGTCCTGTGGGTTTGGACACATGCGTCCGTCATAGCACACCCAGCAGTTTCACTGCCCTAAACAAAAACCCTCTGTGCTCCCGTTCATCCCTACTCCTGCCAGGCACTGTCCCCAGAATTGCGTTTTCCAGGATGTCCTGTAGGTGGAATCACAGTGCGTGGCCTTTTCAGGTGGCTCCCTTCACTTCAGGAGGACATGCATTTTAAGGGTCCTCCATGTATTGGTGGCTTGACAGCTCATTTTATTTTATTGGCTTGAGAGAGAGAAACACCTATTCCACTTATGTATGCATTCATGGGCCCTGGCGGGAGCAAACCCAAAACTGATGCTCTCACCAGCTGAACCACCTGGCCAGGGCCGATATTTCAGTTCTAAATTTTAGTACCGAATGCTATTCCGTAGTCCGGCGGCATCACCGTGTCTCCGTTCGCTCAATGAGGGACACCCGGGTTGCTTCCAAGTTGGGGCAGTTAGGAATAAAGCCGCTGTAAACACCCCTGGTTTTGCTCGGACATGAGCTTCAACGCCTTTGGGTCAGTCCAGAAAGTGTGATTGCTGGGTCTTACGGTAAAAGAATGTTTTTTAAGTTGTGGCTTAAAATAAAATGTATCGTCTCAACCAATAAGCGTGCAGCTCGCCAGTGCTAATACATTCACAGTGTGAACTCCCGCCAAGCGGAAGCCGGTGCGGGTCCAACAGCGGGGAGGCCGGCCCTGCCAGCTCCGCCCCTGCCCGGCC